AGGAGACACATAAGAATAAGTGGATTGTGGATTAAATAGAACTGAGGCATCTCTATGGAAAACTGGAACAATACCTGTGATGATGGTGTCAGATGACTCAACCCTAAGCATAGCTGGAAAAGCATAAAATTGGGGCTAGCCCCACCACTCTGAACTATATCTCTAGGACAGGTCCTACCTGGCTGGCTTCCACCTCTAACAGTCTGACCTCCACCTTTGGCTACCCAAACCTTGCCCCCTAGCTAGCTGGGTGGGTGCTGGGGAAACCGGTACTGGTATGATGGCACGAGAATCCAACTGAGATCTGCCATTCAACAACCTAGGCAATACCTTCTGATGTGACCAACGTTCCCACACTCATAGCACCCATCATGCTGCCGTGACTGCTGAAGCTTAAGCTAACTCGAACGGGTCGGATAATCGTTGTAGTGACTCTGGAGTGGTGGTGCACTGTTAAGAGCTAAATGTGTACTGAACGGTGGTTGCCCAAGGTAAGGAACATAAGGACCATGACTCCCTGAAGCACTGTGAGATGCCTGAAGTGCTGAATGAAATGGCCTGAGAGGATAACCCCTACCATAAGTCCCCCCCTCCAGATAATATGCCTCTAAAATTATTGGAATGACATGGCCTCTTGTCTGACACTTGCCCTATCTCCTGAGAACGAACTAACTCGATCATCCTCGCAATATTCACAACCTTCTAGAAGGAAATATCACTCCCTATCTCCTTGGCCATCTGAAACCTGATAGTATAAGTGACTCCATCAATGTTACCCTACTGAAGACACTCGAATACCCTACGATACTCCTCTCTTAGAGTAACAGGAATAAATTTCTCCAGAAATAATTGTGTAAACTGCTCCCAGGTAAGTATAGGTGAACCAACTGGTCTAGTAAATACATAGTCTTTCCACCACCTCTTGGCGGAGCCAATCATCTGAAACACAACAAAATCGACCCTATTGCTTTCAACTATTCCCATGTTCCGCAATACCTTAGAGCACTAGTCCAGATAGTCCTATGGGTTCTCAGAAGTTGTACCACTAAAATGAATTGGAAATATCTTGGTAAACTTGTCCAATCTCAACAAAGCCTCAGATGACAAAGCGGGCCTATCACCATACTGTGCCGTAACAACTGGATAAAATAACCTACCTGGCGGGGCTGCTAGACCCTGATACTAGGGAGCTATCTACTTCAGAGCAGGAATAGTGGAAGTGTGTGCTCCTCTCCCAGCTTGTGAGACAACTGGTGCCACTAGAAATGTACCATTCTGGACCACACCCTCTATAAGACTCACCAAACGGACTAGAGCATCCTGAAGCACTGAAGTAGCTATGAATCCTTCTGGGATCTGAACTGGTCCAACAAGTACAGTTCGAGTTGGAACCTCCGCTTCAAAATCCACCCGAGGTTCTTCAACTGGTGCTGCTGCTCAAGCTCTAGGCTGAGCTCTGCCTCTGCCTCTACCTCGACCTCTAGTGCGACCTCTGCCTCTACCTTTAGTCGTAGCTGTCAGTGGGGGCTCCAGCTCCTGTGTGGCTGTAGATGCAGTGCGTGTTCTTGCCATCTGCGAGAGAACAAGAATAGAAGAGTTCAATCATCAATGATAGAATAAAAATCGCACGATAGAGTAAGAAAGAATTGATAATTTTTCCTAAACTCCATAGCCTCTAGAAGATAAGTACAAACGTTTCTGTACCGATCTTTCAAACACTACTAAGCTTGCTCGTGACTCATGAGACCTAAGTAACCTAGTGCTCTGATACCAACTTGTCACGACCTGAAATTCCCACCTTCAAAACCGTGATGGCGCCAACATTTCACTTGCTAGGCAAGTCAACATTAGAATAATTTTAACCATTTTTAACAATTTAATTTAATTAATAATAAAGAAACCAATAATTGCAATTAAATATGAAAATAAATGAATATGTAATAGCGATATCTAAATACCATCCCGGAACTAGTGTCACAAGTGCACAAGCCACTAGAATAATTCAAATAAAGGTCTGAATGAAAATAAAGATTTTTGAAAGAAATACATAGCTAAGATAAAGTAGAAGGGGATTTCAGAGCTGTGAATGTCGTGCATCTATACCTCAAGCCTCTTCTGAATAGCTGAATTAGAGCAAGTATACAGTACGCCTCTAGGACCAACTCTAGTATCTGCACAAGAAGTGCATAGTGTATTATGAGTACAACTGACTCCATGTACTCTATAAGTGTCGAACAAGTCTATAGTACGCCTCTGGGACTAACTATGGTATCTACACAAGAAGTGCAGAATGCACTATGAGTACAACCGACCCCATGTACTCTATAAGTGTCGAGCCTAACCTCGACGAAGTAGTGATAAGGCTAAGGGAGGTCGTTTACATTAACCTATAAGCAATAATAATAAAAATAACAATAATAGAATGACATGAATAAAAGTAAGGCAAGTATCTCATATCAGCAATCGAGGCCAATTCGGCAGTTACAATCAATTATTTCTTTTATCAATTCTGTTGCGACGTGCAACCCGATCTCATAATATAATTATTTTTATCTTTATTGCGGTGTGCAACCCGCTCCTCAAACAATATAAATTAACAATACTTACACGTGAAACTACTTCAATAAATGCAACATTTAATATGAAACTATAAAGCGACAAGGCATACAACAATTATGATTTATGTAGGAAACAAATAGGAACAAGTAGCAAATAAGTGAGGAATCATGGAGGAAATAGGTAATTTAGTATATAAAATACTAAATGTCAAGTAGCAATTATGACACATAAGATAAATAAGCATCTAGCAATTAAATATTGGATTCAAGGCATAATATTGAACAACGAAGATAAGAGAAACAATAAATATAACAATTAATTCATGAATTTAAGCAATTTATGAAACATGGATAAACACGGAAACAAACAATTTAATGATGTATAGACACTCGTCACCTCGCCTATATGTCGTTACTCATGAAATTCACATAACACATAATTCAAGGGTTCTATTCCCTCAAGTCAAGGTTAACCATGATACTTGCCTTGACTCGTAATTCAAGTGATCAATTGACCACCACTTTTCCTTTCGAATTAGTCTCCAACCCAATCAAACCTATCAATTTATTGGCCAAAATTGGAGCTTTAAAAATTATTCACAATTCGAAAGAGACTTAATTTAGGTCATTTTCGGAAAAGTCAATCGAAAGTCAATGTGGGACCCACTTTTTGGAACCCAAAATACGAACACCCGTTCCGACACGAGTTCAAACATACTAAAATTATCGAATTCCGACATTAGATTGCCTTTCAAATTCTAAATTTTTCGTTTTTGAAAAGTTTTACAAAAAACTCAATTTCTTCTATTTTAATCCGAAATAAATGATGAAAATAACCATGGATTTATGAAATATAATCACTTTAAGATATAGAAAACTTACCCATGTCAAATTCGTGAAAAACTTCTTTGGAATCGCCCAAATTCGAGACTTAAAACTCAAAAATGAGCAAAAATGTCAAACACCCAATTTTATGTATCTTTCCAACATTTTCGCATCTGCGGACAATATTTTTCGCATTTGAGAGCTTGCATTAGAGAGAAAAATCTCGCATTTGTGGAACCAGGCTGCCAGGCAAAGGACCACATCTGCGAACTTTCCAGTCGCATCAGCGACATCGCAGAAGCGATACACGAGCTGCAAAAGTGAGACCTCCGCATGTGCAATCGTTGGACTTAGAAGAGGTATCGCACCTGCGATCAAAGCTTCACATAAGTGCATATTCCTTCCCAGCCTTCAGCAGAAGTGACCACGCACCTGAGGCCAAAATTGCGTAGGTGCGACGCATTAGAACCAGACCTGTGTTCTTGACCAAAAATGGTTCGAAACTCGTCCGAAACTCACCCGAGCCCTTCAGGACCTCGTACAAACATTCCAACACATCCCATAACATAATACGGACTTACTCGAAGTCTCAAATCACAACAAACAAAGGTAAAATAACAAATCGCGTGTCGATTCGGAGTTATGAGTTTATAAATTTCCAAAATTCTGTAACTTGCGTCGAAACAAGTCAAATCAATCCGGAATAACCTCAAATTTTTTAAGTAAGTCCCAAATGACATAACAGAGCTATTTTAACATTGAAAATCAAAATTAGATCTCGATATCAATAAAAGTCAATTTGTGGTCAAACTTTAAAATCTTTATGTTTTCAAGTGGGTTTCCCTAGTTGCTTTTCTAACATCTTCTTCATGAGCCGTTGATAAATAGCCTGGCATTCTTTAGCCTGAAGGGCATCACATTGTAACAATATGTGCCAAAATTCGTGATGAACGAATTTTTTTCGTGATACTCTGGGTCCATTTTGATTTGGTTGTACCTAGAGTAAGCTTCGAGAAAACTCATTAACTCGTGTCCGGACGTTGTATCAATCATTTGATCAATGTTTGGAAATGAAAACGAATTTTTTGGGCAGTCCTTATTTAAGTCCTTATAGTTTACGAACATACAACATTTATTATTCTTCTTTGGAACTACTACTACGTTATATAGCTAATCAGGATACTTTACCTCTCTGATCGAACCGATATCAAGTAGTCGGGTTACCTCTTCTTTGGCGAATTTATTTCTGTCCTGGGCAATAGGACATTTTTTTTGTTTTACCAGAGGAATGCTTGGATCCAAGCTTAGCTTGTGTAGATCTACTTCCAATGAGACACTTGTCATATCCGCATGCGACCACGCAAAACAATTGACATTAAATTTAAGAAATTCAATAAATCCATACCTGAGTTCGGGGTGCAGTCCTTTTCCCAAGTGGAATCTTCTTTCCAAGAATTTTTTGAATAGTGAGGCTTGCTTAAGTTCATCTGCCTGGACTTGGTTGCATCTGTCTCTTCTGGTACGTGAAAATTCCTTTGGCACCTGATAGGATTCTGACACCCCTTCCCCTTGGTCGGCTTCGCTTGGCTCTGGAACTAGCGCCATCTCCTGTAATTGCTATATCGCATGCTCCTTCATTTTGCTACTAGAGACTGAGATTGCATTAATCTCCCTTGCTGTCGGTTGATCACCTTTTATTTGTTTGAGTCCCTCGAAAGTTGGAAATTTCAGAAACTGATGATATGTTGATGGCATCGTTTTCATTTTGTGTAACCATGGTCTCTCCAGAATGATATTGTAACCTATATCGCCATCCACTACCTCGAAAAGGGTTGTCTTTATCACCCCTTTGGCATTCGTGGGCAGCAAGATTTCTCCCCGGGTTGTCACGGTTTCCAGATTGAACAAGGCAAGGAGTTTTGGGTCTGGAATGATACTTCCGATGAGCTTAGCTTGCTCTAACACTCTCCATTGGATAATATTGGCTGAACTACCTGGATCCACCAGAACATGTTTAACCTTAAAATCTAAAACATTTACAGAGATTACCAGGGCATCATTATGCGGTTGCAATAGTCCATACGCGTCTTCCTCCATGAAAGTAATGTCGTCTTCAGCAACTTCCCGGAGTCTTTTGCTGTGGGTCACTAATACTTTCGTCTTTTTCGCCACCGAAAATGTAAACCCGTTAATCTTGTTCCACCCGAAAATCATGTTGATCGTCAAGCGTAGGGGATCTTCTCCTACTTTTTAAGGTTCTGTATTATCACAATTGCGACCCTAGTTATTTTTAGTCTGGTCGCTTAAAAATTCCCTGAGATGGCCATTCTTCAGTAATGTTGCCACCTCTTTGTGCAGATGGTGGAAGTCCCCAGTTCGGTGACCGTTTTTCCCATGGTATTCACACCATAAATTACAATCCCTTTGGCCAAGATCAGACCTTATTCTCTTTGGGAACCGTGCTTCTTTAATGTTCCTCATAGCCGATACCAGCTCCACTATGAAGATGTTGAAGTTGTATTCGGAAAGTTTGGGGAAGGAAGAATCTTGAGAACCTGTCGTTTCCTTGTTCTGCAACGACCTATTGTTTCGACTCGCTGATCGAAAACCTCTGCCACGTCCTTCAGCCCGTTCATAGGGAAAAAACCAAATCCTCGAAGACCGTCGATTTATATCAAAATCATCTTTTTTATTCTTTTCTCGATATCTGCCTTTAACCGGTACTGGGAAACCTAGCTGATCATCTTCAATCCTTATCTTTGACTCACACGATTATGAATTTCTGCTAAAGTTATTGCCTAGAACTCGAGAAAACATTCTTTCAACTTCCAGGAGCATCAGAACTTCTTGGATTCAGAACATTGGTGAATGCCTCAGTCGCCTATTTGCCCAGAATGGATGGTAGCAACATCCTTTCCTTTTGGAACCTGGCTACGAACTCATGCAATAAATCGGACTCTCCTTACCCAATCCTGATTATATCGACCTTTCGGGTCTATACTTTTCTTGCCACGGTATGGTCTTTGATGAAAGAGTCCGCGAGTATCTCAAATGAGTCTATGGAATCTCGGGCAAAAGCGAATACCATATCAGGGCTCCCTTCGTAAGAGTCTCCCTGAATTTCTTTAGCAAAATAGACTCAATCTCGTAGGGGCCTAAATCGTTTCCCTTCACCGGCATTGCATAGGTGGTAATATGCTCCTGAGGATCCGAAGTCCCATCTTACTTCGGCACATCTTTCATTTTAAACCTCTTTGAGATCAGTTCTAGTGACGCACTTTGTTTGTACGACAATTTTTTGTACTTCATTGAGTCCGGCCCTTTCAACATTAGTGGTACGCCCGAAATTTGATCCATTCAGGCGTTTAGTTCCCTCATAAATCACATAAGTTTGATTTTAAAGGGATCACTCTCTTTTTTGTGACCGGATCTGTTCCCCCGGCCCTATTGGAGCTGACCTCGCCTCAGGGTGTTGTTGTCGACCCTCTGTGTTATTTGGTTTGCGGGAGCACCAGGAAGAATTGGGCCTCGCCCATTTGTGTTGTTGGAAGCGCCCGACAACACCTGCTTCAGTTCCGTCATGACCTTATCCTGTCGTGTGAGATGGCCTATAATGGCCTCCATTTTCTCTTGCAAGTCTGACTGCTTCGACGACGTGCTCTTCTTTAGCATAATCAGGAGTTGCCTTCTGAACATGTTGTAGATATCGGCCGTTGTGGACCGGCGTGGCCTCGTTCCACTCGTTGTGGGTATCGTTGATTGAATTCTCATGCTTAGGCTGGTTTTCTTGAGCCTCAACGTTGTGTGTTTGTTTAACACCATTATCTGTCATTTTTAACAAATTGCTAAAAACAATGAATCACACAAGTTAGTAACTAATGTAGCTATCAATTCAATTACACAACTGTCTATAAACAAGTGAATTAATTTGATCCAAAAGTAATAGAAGAATTAGTCAAAAATATAAGACTTAGCCTAAAAAATTAAATAGACGGAAAATATTTTGATTCTGAGAGCAATAAGAACAATATAAATAGACAAGAAAGTAAAATGTTATTATTGAGCTTTTGATAGAATATGGTATATGCTAGTCAGAAAATTCGTCTCTCACAATGATAATAGAGCTCACTATTTATATCTGCATCTAGGGAACAAAGGTCTAGGATCAAGCTCCTCTTTAATGAACTATGAGGGCCATCAAAGAATGTGTAATGGTAGGCAGTGAATGTCATATTCTCTGTAACGGATCTTGCGCTTAATGCTATAGAATATTCTTCATCGAATGCTATTTGATGGCGATATTAATTTTGCCAATACGAGTATAATGTTGAGTTTTGGATTGTTGAGTTTTTGTTTAAGATGAAATAGTCTTGAAATGAGAGTGAATGAGAAATGGGATTTGGATTTGGATTTGGATTTGGATTTGGATTTGATCAAATGATCGATCGATTGATTAATTATTTGGACCAAATTTATTTGTTAATAGTNGTCTTAAAATGAGAGTGAATGGGAAATGGGATTTGGATTCGGATTTGATCAAATGATCGATCGATTGATTAATTATTTGGACCAAATTTATTTGTTAATAGTGAATATTAACGTGATATAATCCGTATTTGTAACGGATGTTTTTCAATCCGTATATTGTGTTGCACCAAGAAAGCAACAAGATGCCTAGTGCACCTCCCACCATGACCAAGTGCTCCTCCCACCAAGCAAGTGTTCATTCCACCATGTAAGTGCTTCCTCCATGATATCCTAATGCTTGTTCCACCTTGGAGGGGGCGGATTTCTCTCACATGACTACTATAAATAGAGCAGAAGTTGTAGAGAAAGAAGAACACACCAGAGAAAAACACTCGAATTACTCAGTATACAATTGATATACACTCTGTATATAATTGATATACACTCTGTATACACTCAAACTACACTCTGTATACATTGTGTATACACTGGAAAAACGAATTGCAATCTGATATCCTCTTCAGTAAGAATTCAACATCGGCTATACATTGAATTCCTTCCTCTCAAAATTTCCATTCGACTTCTAAGTTCTCCTCCCTTGTTCTGCATTGTTTTAAAACAGCAAACAAAGCAATTGTAAGTGTGATTTGCTGTCGAAATTTGCGTTCGCTGAAATACTGGGGTTTGAAGTACCGCTACACCAATGTGTAATTCGTTCTATCCTGGGAGGAAATAATCCATAACCGTGGGTACTAGGAGGGGATTAAATTCCTTAAGGAAACACTGTGAATTCAGTGGGCTCGAATTAATTTTTGTTTCAGTTATATCATTTATATTTACGTATGTTACTGCTGTATGTAGATGATAAAGAGGATAATATATATCTAAGAGTGGAAAAGTTAAAACTTGATCTTCCATCATTCCATATTTATACAAGATAAGAAGTACTATACAGGAAACAACAACAACAAGCTTAAGGAATTTAATAATTTTAATTTCTGTATTTGTGTTACTTTTATTATTCTGGAAACTTAAAACCTTTGTGGTTTTGTGTACTCCCATTTGGAGAGTAAAGCCTTCGTGGCGTTTTGTTGGAGATTAAAATCTACGTGATTTTTCACTCTAGTTTTAAACGTTTATTAAACGTTTGTTTGTGTCATTTTTATAGTAAAAATGGTGAATGATGGAAATCAAGCTGTTCCGATGATGACTCCCAACGCATCGACAAGTCGAACTCAGGCGTTGGCACCGACAGAGAAACCCGGAAAATTTTCGGGATGGATTTCAAGTGCTGGCAAAAAAAGATGTTCTTCTACTTGACTACGTTATGTCTACAGAAGTTCATCAAGGAAGATGTTCCTGATCTTCCAGATGAAACTCCAGAGAATGATAGTTTTCTCGTGATTGAGGCGTGGAAGCATTCTGACTTCTTGTGCAGGAATTATATTCTTAGCGGACTAGAGGATAATCTGTATAATGTATACAGTGGCGTGGAGACGTCAAAAGAATTGTGGAATGCGCTTGAAAGAAATACAAAACTGAAGATGTCGGGATGAAGAAATTTGTCACTGCAAAATTTTTGGACTACAAAATGGTAGATAACAAGTCTGTTATTACCCAAGTCCAGGAGTTACAAGTGATTATTCATGATCTACTTGCTGAAGGTATATTTCAAATGAATGCTAATGTTGAAAGTAAATTTTTTAGTAATTTTACTAACGGAATTTTCATTGAAGGTCTTGTCATCAATGAGGCATTCCAAGTAGCAGCAATAATTGAGAAGTTGCCTCCATTGTGGAAGGACTTTAAAAATTATTTGAAACACAAACGAAAGGAGATGTCCCTTGAAGATCTCATTGTTCTATTGAGAATCGAAGAGGACAATAAAGCTGCTGAAAGGAGAGGCCGTGGAAATTTAACAATAATAGGAGCAAATATTGTTGAAGATAACAAAAAGAGAAAGAAGGCTTCTGGTCCGAAATACAACCCAAGCAAGAAGCAGTTAAGTGGAAATTGCTACAACTGTGGGAAACCCGGACACAAATCTACGGAGTGTCGTGCTCGGAAGAAAGACAAGCAAAGGGGTCAAGCAAATATGGTAGAAAAGCATGATGATGTTGATGACTTGTGCGCCATGCTTTCTGAATGCAACCTGGTAGGAAACCCAAAAGAGTGGTGGATTGATTCTGGATCCACTCGCCATGTTTATGCTGTGAGGGAAGCATTTTCTACATATGCTTCTGCTGGACCCGAAGAGACGCTCTCTATGGGAAATGCTGCTACAGCAAAAATTGAAGGATACGGTAAGATATTTCTCAAGATGACTTCTGGCAAGGTCATGACTTTGAACAACGTCCTTCATGTTCCCGAGATTAGGAAGAACTTAGTCTCTACTGGACTTCTTGTAAAGCACGGTTTCAAGTGCGTTTTTGTATCTGACAAGGTAGTGATTAGTAAGAATGAAATGTTTGTAGGAAAAGGTTACCTTACTGAGGGCCTTTTCAAGCTGAATGTAATAGTTGTTGAAACTAATAATAAAACTTCAGCTTCTTCTTACTTACTTGAGTCAAATGATTTATGGCATGTACGTTTGGGTCATGTCAATTATAAAACCTTGCGAAAAATGATTAACTTGGAAGTATTGCCTAAGTTTGAATGCGAAAAATCAAAATGTCAAATATGTGTGGAATCTAAGTATGTTAAACATCCTTATAAGTCGGTTGAAAGGAATTCAAATCCTTTAGACT